AGTGTCCCCCTTTAAGCCCTTTCTGTCCATTTAAGGGGCATCCAGCTAAATTTCTTATTTCTAGTTTTAGCTCTTACTATTTTCATTTTTTTCCACAGTAAAATTTTGTTGAAAGCCTATATCATATTTCCCCAAACTAGTCATTATCTTATACGTAACACTGCTGGGGCAATTCCCCTGCTAAAGAGTCTCTACTTGCCACCTGCCTTTTGGACAGGTAGTCCTAGCTAATATGATGACATACTTCCTGTCTTTCCTAATCACCTGAAATCATCAATTACACATGATGTTGCTTAGAGTTCTAAGATTGGAATCTATTGCTAAATAAAAAAAAGAATGTCTGAGGAACAATTACTTTTGCTAAATTTTTTATTGGTATAAATGATTTTGTATAATAGAAGGGTGGTTCCAACTTGGGAGATATATCCAATTTCATTGTAATCTGAGGTAGATTTGCTTTTTGGTCAAGGGTCTCGGTTGTATAACTGAGTTATGGAACAATGTAGCTTACCAAGTTTTAGAAATACCAGAAGCGAACTTAGGTGACAAAGCTAGAGGTTCAGATACACGGCTAACCAGGCTGGCTAATAACTACACTAAGCTGTGGTGTGGATCAGGAATCTGTGAGCAAGAACTAAAGAACAAACATAGGCAGGTACGGAGTTTGTCTTTGCGTAGACTTCTTCAGAAGATTTCATGTAGATAAATAACGATTTTCTCATCCCTGTTTCCTTTTATAATCTAGCTCAGGGAGTAGAGTTTGCGTGATATAGCTAACTTCCAGAGAACTAGAAAGTAGACTAAATATAGCATAGTATTTATATTATGAGAAGAGACTAGATTGGAAAGTGAAGACAGACTTGCCATTGAAGTTCAACTTTTTCCCTTCTGGGCCCTATATCCAGATTAGTATTTCAATTTTTCCTTCTTTTGAGACAGGGATTTACTGTGTAGTACAGGTTAAACTTGAACCCACCATTCCCCTTCCTCAGCTCTCTGAGTAGTGAGATTACAGGTATGTGCCACCAGATCTTTCCTATCTTATTTCTGTCCTGCTTCCTTGAGTGAATCCTATGAATCCTTCGGTGACATATCTGGCCCATTCTATTTTATTAGAGGATAGAGGTGAGAATTAGTAAATGTTAAATGAATATTTAATTAGGTTAAGCTGTAGTTAATAAAAGTGCAACAGGTGACTAAACCGATTCAAATTCGCAGTTTTGTGAGCTGTCATCGCAAGTGACATTGTCCACAATTTTATATGCTAAAGACAGAATACTGTCGAATGGATCATGTTGTCAATGTCATGGAGGGTTGCTTAAGCTGTTAAATCCCCTATAACACATATTCAGTACATAAGTATAAAGAAAAATCCCAGTGATCTAAAATGTGAATCACACTACTTTTGCAGGAGGTTTCTCTAATTGGGCTGATTCCATAGTAAGTTCTGGGGCTATGGCTCTGTCTTAGTACCTTCTGTCTGCTAAGACATCTCCTGCCTGTCTTTCGGCCTCAGCTCAGGCTCACCACCTGGAGGCCTGAAGTAGCCAGTGCTACGGTATGACTACAAAATCATGCCTGTTTGGTCAGTGCAGCCTGAAGTAATATTATATTTCAAGAAGAAATTAGTATCTTGGCTAAGCAAGCTAACTAATTCATTCTGTAAGTTCCCTATATAGTGTTTCATAGGAGAAAAGCTTATATTTAATTTAGTGGAGTTTTTCTTTTTACTGTTGTACAATACAGCTCATGGTTGCATGTAAAACTGTCACTATCCTGTCTTAGAAGATTTTGCAGATAACACTTGCAGTGACAATAGGCGAATTAGCCAGCACATTCTGTGCCCTAAAAATTGAGTGAATGGAAGAATTATGTCTGTTGGTCCTTTATTCATTATTTAGGATGATGTCTGTCACAAACCCAACTATTTCCTAAATTCTTATCTCAACTGTTCAAAGAAATTTGGAAGTCACAGTTTATCCACATATTTTCCAAACTTTAACACTTTGCTTAGGAATTGCTGAGGGGTCTGTGGTGATATCTTTAAATTTATGCAGAGATACATACTACACATTCAACAGAAATTAATACTCCTGGTGTTGAGTATTAAAGACCACATTAGAACAACAAAAATCTCTGGGTTCCTTTAACACTGTGATACATTGATCGATCAGGATAATATCATTTCCAATCAAGGTTTGCAAAGGTTCACTGAGCCTATGATTTCACAACTAAGGGTTAAAACGTGGGGTACAAATATGGAGGTGACGTACAGGATAAAAACAATTCAGAGAGCCCCACACATGATACATTCTGAGCTTGAACTTGAAAGAAATGTAACTCCTGGAAGTCTCTGCGGTGATATGTAGGAATGAGATGCTTCTAAAAGGCCCAAATCTTAAGAAAATGACCCCCCCTCCAGGCCAGGTGACCAGTAAGTGAACTGCAGTCATGTTCTTTCAGAAATACCACACACTGGATCTGCTTCTCATGTGACACTTCACTCCATCTACTGGAAGTGTCATCTCTTATACACAGGGTCCTCTACACTGTGAGCCATCCTTTGGGATCCTCTGAAAGTCTTGGTTCTTCATACTCTGTAAGCCCAGAGAGCAAGTACTAGCCCACACCCTATAAAAATCAGTCACAATTCACTAAAGTGAAGAAAGGGTGGTGGAAATACTGAGGGCTATTCATTTCCAGTGCTTGGGAATCCTTTCCCTCCCAGTCCCCAGCAGAAGCACCGCATGGATAGAGAACCCTCAATGGCAGTGTATTATACCAGTTTATTATGGAGACAAACTCATGATTGCCATGCTCCAGATTTCCCCCAAAATAACTTCTTCACATGTATATATGTGCACGTTTAACCATTTCCCTCACTTCTCTATCATATTTTGGCTAAGTGGATCTAGACAGTAAAACCTAATTTCATTAAGAAACACACTAGAATAACTTAGATTGTCTCAGATATTCCCCATTATGTTTTAGTTTATCAGTTTTACATCTGTTCTAGTGTAAATTAAAGATGCCTTTTCTTTCTGGTCGTTTTGTAATAGGGAAAATTTTAAGCTCTTCGGAGGAGCTGACCCTATCTCAAAGAAGCCTGTCTTTCATGTAAGGGGGCCTTTTCTAAGCATTTAACTTTAGGAGGCATTATATACAAAACCGACTCTCTCTGAACTCCTGATGTTCTTCCTTCCCCCCACAGCCTTCCTCTGTTTTGATGACCATATTTCCACTGAAACATGACGGGGATGGCGAAGAATGAGGTGGCTTCCAAAGACTTGGCCTGTTCTGCCCTCTAGCCAAGCAGAACGGTTCCTGGAAGACCTTGGACGGCAGAAAGGGGATAAAGGTGTCCTGTAATTACCGCGTGTCTGAGGACGTAAGCCGGCTCTTCCCTTCCGCGTGCAAACGCCAGCGGCGGCATCGGAAATGAATTACTGGCCCTCGCCCCCGCGGAGCTAGGGAAGAACCAGGGACGGCCTCGGTGGAGTGGAAGAGAGGCTGGGTGCTGCTACCCCGCCGAGCCCATCACTGCTGTCCAAGCTGATGAGCACCAGTGCTGACCCTGGTGAGCAGAGGCTGGGAGGCAGAGGCGACTCAGAGGAAGGCGGCCGAGCCCTGCACTCGGCTTTGACGTCGCCGGGCTGCGGCTAGCAGCCTCGCGCTCTCAGCACGTAGCGCACAACGTGACCACACACAGCCTTCCTCCCCGGCAGCCGGGCCGCCTGCGCTCCTCGTCCGCCGCTCCTCCATCCTCCTCCTCTTCCTCCTCCTCCTCCCGCCTATCGCCTCCGCGGTGCACAACCCCAGCGTCAATCTAGGGATCCCAGGCAAGCGTAGGGCCCCGGACGCTTCTCTGCCCAGCTTGGGCATCTCTGCCGCAACTGCGGCCCGCAAGGCGGCCGCGCAGCCAGGGTGCCCTCAGCAGGCGGCCGCTTCTCTGCTCCGCTCCGGATGCCAGCACTCCGTTAGCCCGGGTGGGGAAAGCCCTTCTGCGGCTCCCGGGTCTAAACTCCCGCCAGTCTCTACCGCCCCCACCCCCTCCACCTGGCGGGGGCGGCGCGGAAGAGAAGAGGACGCGCGGTACGGGTGGGCACGCGTGGACGGTGTGCGGATCTGCTCTGCGCTGGGCATCCTCCCTCTCCTGCAAGTGGTGGTGCTCGGACTCTGCTTTCGGCTCCCGGGATTGGTGCTGCCGCCAGGAGCACCCTCTTTGCTGGCGGGGCGCTCAAGGCTGTTTGGAAGAGCCGTGGCGGTGGCGGCAGCGGCTGAGGCTGGTGCCTGGCGAGCTCCAGACGGGCGCTCCACTCCCGCTTGGACCCTTTCGTCCTCCTCTCTCCTCCTCCGCTCTCTCCTCCCCATCCTCCGTTTCCCACTCCTCCTCTTCCTCCTCCTCCTCCTCTTCCTCTCCCCGCTCGGCGATGCGAGTCTGTGTCGTGTAACAGGATTGGCGTTGCAATGGCAACTGATGGAATGGGGGAAGGCAAGACAGCAGGGCTGGGGGCTCCGGACTGCGGGCCGGCGAGCCGCTGCCGCCGCTTGACGCTCCCCTGGGGACCTTCGCGAGTTACTTTGTAAAGGCGAACCCGGGCTAGGGAGCCCCGCTTCGTGGCCGGGTCAGAGGCCACTTCCTGCTCCCTGGCTGTCCAGCGCGGTTCTCATCGCGCGGCGCCCCCGGGGCTCCTGCCCGCTCCTGCCGCTTGCCCGCGCCCGGAGCCTGGAGCCGCTTCCCCGAAGAACACTTGTCCTCGCAGCTCTGCTTCCCATCACCGCCCCCTGCTCCTCCCCGGCGTCTGCGATTTTCCCAGGCGCCCGGTGTGAGTGAGGCTTGCGTGTGAGTGTGTGTATCGGGGGTATTGTGTAGTGGGAGTGTGTTCGCGCGTGTGTGCTTGTACGTGTGTGTGCTTGTGTGTGTGTGTGCTTGTGTGTGCGTGTGTGTGTGTGTGTGTGTGTGTGCATGAGTGTGGGGTGTGTGGGGCTCCAGAGCTCCGCTCACGGCCGCCGCCAGGGAAGGACAGACGGACAGCTCTTCCTCCCATTGCTAGCAGTTCCCAGGCACCTCGACTCGGCCCGGGCACAAGTGGAGCGCGCCTTGCTGGCCGCTGGCCTCCAGAAGGTCCCACTGCGTCCCCCTTGGGCTGGATATGTTCATGTTCACGTGAAGATGGATTTAGTGTACGGTCTCGTGTGGCTGCTGACAGTCCTCCTGGAGGGAATCTCTGGCCAAGGAGTGTACGGTGAGTGGAATCGCGACGCTATCGTGACCTTGTGATTCCTAGGCAAGATAGGCTGCTGAGCTTAGATACACGACTCTCGCGGTTCCGGGGCCCCTCCTGGCGTGGCATTTGATTTACACTTCATCACGTTATTGGGAGCTGAAAGGAGGCTGTGAGCGCGCTGCGGATTGGGCTGTGAGCGGCTCCCCCAGCTCTTCCACTGGGGCTCTGAGTTGGGTCGGGCCAACAGCATCTCACTCAGAGGAACGAGTGGCTTTGCACTTGATTTATCCCCGCGGGGAAACATGGGCTCTTGCAGTCTTGGATTTAATAATGGTTTGGCGCGGTGTCACTGCCGCGGTTTCCCCTGAAGGGAAGCTTGGAATGTGACCCCAAGTCCCTTTCACCGTTTTACTCCTTAATTCTTGAGAGGGCCCTCTCCCTGCAGATGATCTCTGATCTCTTCCTTTCCACCTTTTAATCATTTTATATATATATAAAGTCTTTTTCCTCCTTTCTGCGAATGTCTATGGGACTTGATTTTCTGGCTCAGGAAGTGGGGTAACAGTTGAGTTGTATCCTGCACCAGCCGTTTCCATGAGCACTGACTTGGGGAGGGGAAATAGCAGGCAAGATTCTCAGTGCCAGACATAATTAAGGGACATGTTTGTGTGAATGGATGAGCAAATGCATGAATGAACTGAAGAAGTCCGTGCGTCTCTGCTTCAGGGCAGGACATCACTCTTTACAAACAGAACAAAATCTCAGCTTTTCACAGAAAGCCCATATCCAGGATGCTTGAGACCTAGGTAGGGGGAGCTTATTAATTGGAAGGCTTTGAAGTGCTCCCAAACAAATCCAGGTTCCTTTGCCTGTCAGCAGTTGGCACTCTTGTATTTAGTCACTGAAGTCTCTCTCTCTCTTTCTCTCTCTCTCTCTCTCTCTCTCTCTCTCTCTCTCTCTCTCTCTCTCTCTCTCTCCTCCTACTCCCTCTCTCCCTCTCTCTTATACATGTTCTCCTTGGCTGATTATAGTGACTTGTAATATCTTTATCTTCTGGGACAAGTTGATAATGCCCTAAAAGCAAAGGAACTTTTTGTGTCCTCAAGATATATTACAAGGATAACGTTAAAAGGGGTGGTTTAGAGGATAGAGCGGACCAAGACTCTCCCATAGCACACACCCTTATGTACTTGTAAAATGAGTAGAAAACTCCTGCTGCTGCATTGCCTTAGACTCAACGTGGGCTGGTTCAGTAACTGCCCCGGGGCAAAAAGCATTAGTATGTGAGAAATGTCAGCCATTGATTTCCCTTCAGTCTTAAGAACTGCCTGAAGAGTGGTTACTGGTACCAGTGGAATTGAACTCCTCAAACTGTCTAGAAACCATGTAGTGTACAGGCAGCCGGTGAATGAGTTCAGCAGATCCCTCTGAGCCTTTTCTTTCTGCTGTGTGTTTCATTCTGGGCAAACAACTACATACTGTGTGTGTGTGTGTGTGTGTGTGTGTGTGTGTATGGGAGAGCAAAAACCGGAGGTCCCCAACTGAGAACATTGATTCCTGCTGCTGCTGTCCAGTTTCCTGTCTTCACAGTTCTTTCCTAGGCTTATTTCTCCCACCTCTAAACATCTTCGTTTCCTTTTTCTTTTTTTTAACACTCTATTTTCTAAATCAAAGCAACTTGCTTGGCTGCAGCAGAACCCTCATAAAATATGGTGGCGAGTGTTGGTCTTGGTGAGCTTAAATATAGGAAGGAAATGCTCTGGAAAGCTTGACTGCTGACACCAGGAGGCGGGGCCTGAAGAGAACTAGGATTCACTCAGATCTCTGCTAGACTCTCCCCCTAGCCCTGAGCAGCAAAGAGAGATGGAAACTGGGATTCCACCTAGGGTCAAGGGCAGCTGGAAAGAAGAGCTGTTCCCCTGATTTCCTGTCATCTCCTGTCCAAGTTTGTCTTTGTTTCTAATTGGCCCAGATCTTTCCAGCTGAAAGGAGTTTTTGTTTTGTTTTGTTTTGTTTTTTAAAGTATGTGAGATGTAGAGACTGGAAAGGGGAGAGGAATGTTGGAATTGTAAAATTTAGAGAGGAAAGGGTCCATTTTTCTGACACACTCAGTCCTCTGAGTTACTTAGGCAAGTCCCCTGTTGGCCAGAAATAAGAGTCAGTATAGATAAGTAGGAATTGATAATTAAAATAATTCCTTGTTTATGTCACTTATCAGTACAGGAGAATCCTTTTCCATTACTGAGTTGGTCACTGTGATGAAGACAGTGGCCATTGTTTTATTTTGCTATAGATGTCTCTGTTAGTCACTTATCTAGGAATACACTTAGCTTTGTGTAAAAAGAATTATTAATCAGCACTCTTAGTCCGTGATAAATGTTACAGCTATTAGGTAGGTGAAGTGAAACAGTTAAATATTAACTTCCAGATCTGTTTTATAGATCATAGGAGGTGGTCTTTCTAAACGTTATCTTGTTAGAAGTGCAGAGTCAGGAGTAGGCCTCTCTCAATATCCTGCATCAGGACCTCAGAGGGTCAGCTCCAGAAGTCCTTCCCCATCACTTCCCAGTGATTTTCACAAAGTCTACTAAAGCCAGAGAACACTAGCACAGACTTCCACATCATTGTTTGACTTTGTAGATCAAGGCCTTTCTTTACCTAAAGTAATCTCATCTTTGTGTTTAATAAGTATTCATGATAAAGGAATCAGTTTATATTTGCTTTAGTTGGAAAACAATTGATTTTAAAGGGATAAAAGATTCTGTGCAAAGCTATGAAGTGTTTTGAACAATATATATAAAGATCTTTGAAAAAAGTTTGATTTTAGAATCATGACCGCTTTAAATACTAACTTAAAAACTGTAGGAATTTTAATGTCTGCAACCCTCTAAAATTGCATTTACAAGATGTAAAAATCATTCCCAAAACACATTGGAGGTTTTATTATTATTTATTGGCATTATTTTTAATAACTATAAGTAAGAGAAAATAAGCACTTTCTGCTAAAGTGGGGAATGACTTTTCTCTCCAATTTTCTGGCTGAGAAACACTGAGGACAAAATTCAGATTTTAAGTTGTAATAAATGATATATTTGTTTTAATGTATGGGTTATTTCATATTGATGAATATAATCTCATTATGTTCAATTATCTTGAATTAAAATTTAGTTACATGTAAAAGTTTTTTTTTCTAAAAAGGTAGGAGCTTACTGTAGCAATCTTGGATATTGCTTTGTAAATTAGTATAGTATCTGACGTTTGTATGTTGTGTGGCATTTGATTAAAAGAAACTTGCCTGTAAGAACCTGTCTGCCCTCTACTGATAATTTTGGTGGAACTGTATTTTTGAATGGGAATTGTCCTCTGTATTTAGTCCATATTTTGAATCTTATGTAACATTAAGCTAATATAAATTAATTATATACACTTCTGAAAAGAAAGCAGGTAGTGTATAATAGAGTGACATAAACAAGTTAAGGGTTTAGGATAAATATTTTAATAATAAGATAATACCCTTTTTATATCTTTTAATGATTAATGTTTTTACATTAACATACTGGTAATCTTGAATTTACAAAATTGCTTACATAAAAAAAATTACCCCAAATATTGTCAGGAGTTCAGTTTTGTTTAAGTTTTCCTTTTGCTCGCATATAATCCAACCTAAAACGCCATTAAATAAACAGTGATCTGATACTTTTGTTTCCAGGAGTAGAACTAATGTGCAGCCATTAGCCATTATACTTGGGGAATTAGATACAGCTTGAAGGGTCAGTCTGTGAACTCCAAACGTGTTAGGTGATTCTTGAGGTACCTTAAATTGGGTGTTCTGAAGCACTTTTCACGTTTTGTGGATGTGATTTTTAATAATCCAATATAAAGAATTGTATTTACTTGCTTAAAAAAAAGGAAAAAAAGTGACTCACTAGCCCACATTTTATTTTTACTCAGAAACATTTCCTTAGCTTCCACGAGGCTTAGTGCAGCCTTATTACTGCATTAGCACAGACAAATCCCACACTACGAATGAAAACCCATGCTAGGTCTAGATAGTCTGAATGGAAATAAGTCAGTTACTCAGTACCCTGAAATAGTTAAAGCCCTGTCTATGCAAAACTCACTAGATGAAGACCAGTCAGTAGAATATGTTCATCAAACACACGTACTTGACACGTTAGCTATCCTATATTAACTCATTTCAAGTAATATCAGCACATCTCACACAATTTAAACATGACACTGTAGGCAGTAGCTGAACAGAAATGACTTGGTAGAATTGAGAGCAGGGAGATAAGTGAGACCCGAAAGTTCTGGAAGAAATTTCCAGCTGTCAGTGGGTTGAGGCTGATAAACACATTGATCGGAAAAGACAAAGCTGCAGCGGAAGGTCAGCCATTCACTATGCCCAGTCCCATGATGTTGCCTGCTCATAGCCAAGTTATCTTAAGGTATGTTGATGAGGTTCTGCCCAGTGTGTATACTGCCTTTGATTGAAACATTTTAGGATGCCAGCTAATGGAAGAGGAGATTTCACCTGATGTTGTTAGAGAGCTTAACCTGAAACCACACTCCATACGATTGACTTTGATCTCTCTTCTTAATTTTCACCCACTCCCCATAGGCTCTCAGACAAAATTCAACAACACTTCCCAAGGATCTGGGTTGCTGTGCTTATCTGGGACATTTTTGGGGAATGCTTCGGATTATTTGGTGATTATGTTAATGCTATTCCACGTGGCAAAATGGCTGATTGTTTTATACAGCGTCATATGCTCATTAGGCCCTGTATGTCTCTCCTGGATAAATCTCTTAGTTGACTGAGAAGTATTTTAGATGGACCAGGTTATACACCAAGACCAAATGTTACCCTATAGTGAGTAAGTTGATAATGGCTGGCGGCAGGGTTCAGATCAAAGACAGTCAGAGACCAAGACATGGAGGTTAGGTAATTCTGGTGAATCCATGAAATACTATGAAATACTCTGAAAACATTTTTAATTGTTGTAATTTTTCTGCTT